TGTTGAAAAACTAAATGTTCAAGTGATATTGAATAACATTTCTCAAGAAATTCTCAATGATACAATATTTTTAATACAATAGATAATTTCAGCTAATTTCACCCAGCCTTTTACAGAGAGATCAAACAAATCTTTACAATCTTCCACTTTCTCTGTCATATACCTGTAGATATAAATATATAATCTTTTTTTTAATCATCTTTACATTGTTTTGAAATATGAAGCTAACTAAAATGATTGAAATTGCCAAACAGTGTGCATATATATGGTGAGCAAAGAATACAAATAAAATGTAGTTTAACCATTAGCCTACCTGGCACTTTCATCCGCTTCCTGCCCAGGCCAATTTTCAGCTTTCAGAGCTGTCACATTTTGAATGACAATTGGGCGGTCATGCAACATTGTACCCAAATGAAATTTGTATAATTTTTTTGGACACAAATAGAGCTTTGTTTTGGTGATATTTAACCACCGCTGGGTTTTTTTATTTTTTACTAAACACACAAAAAAGGACAAACAATTTTGAAAAAAAAACGTTTCTTAGTTTCTGTTAAAGTTTTGTATATAAGTAAATTTTTTTCCTTCACTGATGTGCGCTGATGAGGCTGCACTGATGGGCACTGTTAGGCTGCACTGATAGGAACTGATGAGGCTGCACAGATATGCGGCACTGAAGGCCACTGATAGGCAGCACTGATGGACATTGATAGGCGGCACTGATGGGAATTGATAGGAGGCACTGATGGGCACTGATAGGTGGCATTGATAGGTGTCACTGTCAGGCACTGATAGGATGCATCAATGGGCCCTGATAGGCAGCACTGAGTAGTCATTGTTAGTTGGCACTGATAGGCTGGACTGATGAGTACTGAAGAGGCTGCACTGATATGCAGCACTGATGAGCACTGATAGGCAGCAATGATGGGGATTGATAGGCAGCACTGATAGGCATCACTGATGAGGCACTGATAGCTAGCACTGAAAGCAAGCACAGATGGGCAATGATATCCAGCACAGATGAGCACTGATGGGCACTGAAAATCAGCACTGATGGGCACTGAAAGCTAACACAGATGGGCACTATTGGCCACTCTGATGGGGCTACATCGATAATCAGGGCACTGATGAACTCCTATCTAATGACACCCATCTTTACATGCGTAAGTGGTCTCAATTTTTACAATGTGACATTGATTTGTTAATGTGGAAGAAAATCTGGGAAAACACACCTAGATCTTCTGTCTGTGTGGTCTTTAAGGAAAATACATAATGTTGTGGTACAAAACACCTGAAGTTCTCCACGCTTATAACCCAAATGCTTCTCCTGTGTGCTGGTGCTGTGGTAAAGACCTTGGTTCTCTCTACCATATCTTTTGGACATGCAGTTCCATTACTCCCTTTTGGGAAGAGGTTTTTTTCCTTGTCCTTGTTACAATCGCTATTGCATACCTCTCTCTCATTTGACCATATATATTTTTTACTAAGTCTACCATTCCCCGGACTATCTAAAACGTCCAGGAAACTTTCTGTGCATGTCCTGACCGTGGCTAGGAGAAGCATTCCTATGTGTTGGCTATCCTCTACTCCCCCTTCAATGCCGATCTTGTACAAAATTATTGCTGATGTGAGACAGATGGAGTATTTGACCGCCCTACATACTTGTTTGATTGCTGTGTTTGAGGCAGTATGGAACCCATGGGATGCCTTCATTTCTTCTTCACCAGTCAAAGATGTATGGTCCTAATAACCTCTACACTGTTATCTCATGACATTGTTTGTCCTGAACCTATGCAGTTTTTACCATCGATGTACCATTTTTTTTAAGTTTTTTTTTTCCTTTTTCAAACCTACTGTTTGTATAATTACTTGAAAACCAATAAAAATTGTTAATAATAAAAAAAAGGCTGTTATGAAACAGAGATAAACAGTTATGTTAAAATTGTACATAAAAAGGAGGTTGAGTTGCAAAGTATAGTAGGCGATATGGAAAAGTCTATCCTATTTAATTTGATATTAGGATAATTATGTTGTTGGAGAGTATAGATGAACTGTTCAATAGCATTGCATTCATTGAACTCTAGTTCTGTTACTGGCACAAGAAACAGTTCACACTGCCAATGCTCAGCAAAAATACAATTTTGAACTGGTAGAAATTACTTTATGAGTATTTAGCACATAAAGATATGCTAATAGATACAACATTTTCATTTTATGTTTAATAATGTTCATCATGTTTTATATTTACTTTGCTGCCAGCTTAATTTTGATTACTCTGGCAAAAATGTCAAATGAAGGTCTCTTCATTACAAGTAAAATTAGTTGAGCTTGTTCGAATACATTCATTTTTTTTTTTTTTTGTATTTTAACTTAGTTCACTACTTTTGAAATATTTCCGCACAAATGAAAGACAGGTGAGATTTTTGATTTTTTTTTTGCCTAACATATCTTGGTAAGGATTGTTATAGGTTCTTAGCCTTTATATATAATATATTATAATACAATGTTTTATTGTTTAAGAAGACCCACTTCGCTGAGGCCGCATACATGCACACGCTCATCATAACTGTGGATATTTACTATATACCAACTACAGTATTTTCATGTGGATATGAAATACCTTTTTGTACATTCTAGATAAATCACATTAACAGCATTTCTTCTTCAACACCTTCTCCTTCTCAGTTGATACATTTACAACAGTTTGCACATTGGTTTACAAAGTAAAGGGGGGCAGTGAAGTTACATTACAGTTTAAGATAAGGGGATTAGGAGAACACTACTCATGTCTCTGATTTGAGTTTACATTCTCAATAAAGGGCTTGCCTAGAGGTCTAGTTTATAATTATGCACCTATATACATGGAGACAATCATGTTTGCTCATTACATGCGTAGGCTTGGTCTTCCGTTTTGAAGTTGTTTTTACCTGTCCATATTTTAATGGCTTCCCATTTGCCCACAGTCTATAAACATTAAGTCCATAAGCATTAAGGAGCAGTCCACAGGCTACCTTCCAAGGGATTACACAGTAATATCCAGGAGCTCTGGAGGGAGGCTATCATATTGCAGACCCCATCCTGACCAGCTGATGACTCCAAGGGAAATTTATATTTATAAACGCCCATTTAGCTGTGCGTTCTGGTGAGTGTGCATTTCTTCAGCACTATTTCGCACAGCACCTGATTATCAGGAGGATATGAAATAGAGGAGAGCACTTGAAGTCACCTTGATATTATCATATGAACTGTTCTATTCATTTATTTATTCATGTGTATACATATTTGTATCTATACATCCATTCATTTATTTATAGTGTTCCTCTTCTGTAGCGCTGCATCTTTTGATTTATATTGATGTATATACAGTATATTTGAAAATTGATCAGTCCTACCATGTTCTGGTAGCCTATCTCATGTCCCAAAATGCCAGGACAGTACAAATACCCATAAATGACCCCTTTTTGGAAGGTAAACAGTCTGATCTATTTATTAGGAGGTATGGAGGATTTTTGAAGTTATAATTTTTTGGTCACAATTTTTTGGAAAATGAAGACAGTAAAACAATTGCTTTCTTTTCACAATTTTTTTTTTGTACATACTGTCAGCACGTACAGCATCATCATATGACTGGTGTCATTATAGTCAAAAGAAAAACACTCAAGCCCAGTAAATGTGAACTAAAAATTAATGTTTGATAAGGTAGAGAAGTTATGTTAAACAAGGCTCAAGACCTGTGATGACTGACAAGATATACTGTATATAAAAAAAATACAAAAAAAAAAAAAAAAAAATCATATACAGTATAAGCATGCACAGTCTAAGCTCTTAACAAATTAATCCAAAAAATGATCCAAAGTAAAATATAATGTGTACTGTGCTCATCCCAGAAAGTTCATAAATTATATAACACAACTCTTTATGGATCCACCTTGAATAGATAAATTGCCACTTGCACAGTGTACACCACCATGTACCCATTGTATACACAAGCAAGTCAATATGTACTTCTCAGCACACAATGTACTGCAACACTTGCCACATGGCCTTTACTCCTCCAGGTCCTGTCCCTTGATTTATTCAGTTACTCACAATGCAGGTCTGCTGTGTACATTAATACTCCATATAACCCCAAAGTAAAAAGAGCGGTCCTTTTCCTATTTGAAAATCAAATTTCATAATTCAAATTTCAGAAGATGGCTATAGTCTATTTTTTTAACAGTTGGCTTTAGTCTATTTTACTCTATTCTAATCTATTTTATTTTTTTCTGTTGTATTTTTTTCTATTCCCATTTATTTTTTTTTTCTATTCTATGCTCTTCTATTCCTTTATTTTCTATTTTATTCCATTCTTTTTGAAATTCAAATTATCAAAATGGCTATATTCTATTCAAAATTTGAAAGATGGCTATATTCCTTTCTAATCTACTGTATTCAAAATTTTTATTTCAAAGTTTGAATTTTGGAAGATGGCTATATTCTAGTTTATTCTATTCTGATATATTTTATTCTTTTTTTCTATTCTATTCTAACCTATTCTATTTTTTTTTATATTTTATTCTGTTTTAGTCTGTACTGTTCTTTTTGTTTTCATTTTGTTTTCATTTTAAATTTGTTTTTTAATTCAATTGCATATTCAGATTTGATTCAAACTCTGATCAACTACAAATGTAGTTTTGTTATTTTAGATTTGTTTAAATTCGTTACTGTTGTAATTCAGAAATTTGGATCTAGCCGAATCTTTGAATAATAAAAATGACATCCAGATTTCAATTCAGAATGAAACAAACTGCACGTCTAAAACATATATATTATTTATTAAACACAATAATATGAGAAAACATATAGCACCCTAACTCCTAAAACAATTTAAAAACCCCATGTAATTCATACAGGAGCCTTCTGAAATGCAGATACTAGTGCAAATTAGTGTGGAAACTGAGAAGTGCAATCAACTGAGTAATTTTATCAGTTTTAAGAACACTATAAATTGATACCACTTATAAACCCCAAAGGGTGCTCTGCAAGGTCATCTATCTGGGGAGAACCTGGGTTCTATAAATTTAATACAAATGAATGCAAAAAAATTGGTAAACAAACTCAAATGTTGATATTGTGTGCAGGGGCGGACTGACAACTCATGGGACCCCTGTGTCCTTGATCAAACTCAAAAAAGCCTATGAAAAAGGTACCAGGGGTATCTCATGGGGCCCTCTACTGACCCCGGGCCCTCGGGCAGTGCCCGAGTTTCCAAATGGTCAGTCCGCCCCCCTGATTGTGTGCACTAATCACCTATATACTACACAACAATGCATAACCTAATCAATATTGTTCATTCTAATAGTGAGCCATCGGTACCTGTTAATAACAAACCTCATTGCATCCACATTCTGTTCCATTTTTGAGCGACGACTCACTATCAGAATGATTACAGAGGAAACTGGAATTACCAAGTTAATTGTTCATGAAACGGTGACTCAGAATTTGAACATGAGAAAATACACCATTTTGGTAGTGTGCATAACGTACAAACAACCACTATGCAGGATCTGAATCCTATCCCACTTGAAGAAGTCCAGGGATGCTATGAAGAATAGAAATATTGCTGGGAGCATTGTGCACACTCACAAGGTGCATACTTTGAAGGAGACAATGTTCAATTGTAAAATTTTTAATAAAAGAATTATTATAATATTTTCAATACTTTCTGGGCACAGCTCATACATTAAAGTTGATAGGGGCGAGAGGGAGAGAGAGAGAGAACGCAACAAGATGATGTGCAATGAGAGAGGCTTTGTGGTGTAGCAAAAAAATCAGGCATACCAACATTGCTCATGGCTTTTCATTAGCAAAGGAGTCTAAGGTTTAAGTGTGATAAATTATGGTTCCAGATATATTTGATGAATAGTGAAGTATTTTTGTGTGTATGGAGGGCGATCGATGGGTATGGGTTGCATTATGTATAAGAGTTTTGAAATAGTATCTGTTTTCAGAATGTTTCTTTTGCCAAACCAATGAATGTTTTGTTTGTTCCAAGAGTTAAATGCTTTGCAAATTTTACTCAGTAGTATGATGTAGATAATAGTATATAAGTTGGCTAGTTGGGCAGAAATAAAAGAGCCTAAGTACATTATACTTTTATTCGGCCATTGAATGGGAAAATTACTTTTTAGAAGTGCAAGGGTTGGGGGTGTACTTTCAAACACTACATTCCAAGAATTTTGAAATTTGGGGTTGTTGGATTTAAAGGAGTAGGTCATCCATGTACTGAGACATTTTATGATGCAATGAGTCATCTTGAATTCCATGAATGCAGACATTTTCATTGATGGCTTGCACCATATGTTCAGTGGCAAACAGGAAGATGCACATGGGTCTGATTGACAACCATTTATTGAGGTTCTACTTGAATGAAAGGAGTACAAGCACATGATTTGTATGACTAGGTTGTGTAGAATATTCTGTGACACATATAATAATTTCTAGTGTCCTTAGGTGATTTCAGATAATTAAATAGGCTGCAAAATAAAAATAAAGTGTAATTTTTATTGTATCACACAATGGCTTAAAAATACAATGTAAAAAGTTTCATAAATAACAGTTCAGTGTAGGTAAAACTAAAATATAAAAACAGAAGTTATAAAGATGCATCAAGCTTAGAGTCATAACTGCCCTGCCATTGCTTCTTGTCTATTCAATGCAGCATGAGTCTGAGCAAGGAGAAGGAAGTGACGTGATCTTAGGTTTCTAAGAGGTTTCTGTTAAAGCTTGTCAATATGTAAATAACCATACAAATGTGTCTTCATGCCTTCCTTGTAAGTGTCTATATGTCTGTATGTGTGTGAATGGATTGATGTGTGTGTCCCTCACCATCTTTTAGGATGTCTTTTTTACCTTGCATGGCAAACATAATTCTGTTACAGAATACAATGATTTCATTGAAGGGATGGGATACTACATGTATGTTCTTTTGATTGACAAGTCCAAATGTAACACTCTAGTATAACTAAGAATCCCTTTACAACATAATGTCTTAATAATGTTGTATAACAAAAAATCACATATTACCACCTTATAAAACATAAAATTAAATTCACACAGATACTACTAGAATATACCATTTCATACTAATTTTCTAACTAACAATATATTTATATCATGTTTATTACTTTGATTCTATCTATTTTGGTTCACACCTGACTCCCATGACACCCTACACCAGAGATCTTCTAACCAACTATTCCCATCTACATGAAATGTCCCAAATACTTACTCAGCTTCCATCTAGTTAATTTAAGTCAAAATACTCTGACACTTTTCTGGCTCAGCTATAACTGAAGAATTGGACACTATCTCTTGCTCAAGGGCAACTACACATTTTAATATTAATTATGATTAATCATAAAAAACAGATGTTTTGCAAGCTTGCCATAAATGTAAGTCCTATAAGTGCCAAATTATGAATTTAGAATGATAATCTAACAGGTTGGTACCCAATCGTATTTGTTCTGAAAAAAAAAACAAAGGAAATTCCAGTTAATTCTGTGAAATGCTTTTTCTCCATCAACTGATAAGTTTGAAGATTATATTTATGTATTTTAAAAATGAGATGGGTTGTTTTAAGTGTATTTTCTCTGGCCTCTCAGTCAGGGACAAACACAGATGCTGTTTTTGTTAAGTGGTGTAGAGGAGGAGAAATGTGATTAGCTAAAGTTTTGGAGAAGATTTTTGGATCTATGTTCATAAGTGATATAGGTCTGTAACTTTCTCAGAGGAAATGTTTGGATTGTTTGAAAATTCAGAGGTGTCAGTAAAAATTTTTAGTGCAAGAGGGTGATCTCTATCAATGGAGTAAAGGTATTAACTCAGAATCAAGGAAAGGTGGGGGAGTAAAAACTTATAAAACCAAAACATGAATCCATCAGAACAAGGGCTTTTTCAAAGTTTCAGGATTTTAATGGTCTTAATATCTAGTTCTCCAAAGGGAGTGTCAAAAAGGAAGTTGCTGTTAGTGGGGGTGACTAAGTGTGGGAGGGGTTAACCCTTTGAGGACCATAAGATTACGGAACGCCAAAAGAATCAATTTTTTGTTTTTAAAGTTCGTGTACTTCAGTTGCTGTAACTAAGCCATTTCATGAAATAATTGGCAAAAAGCTAGATCCATTGGTTGATAAGAACTAATATTTTGACTCAAACCAAAAAAAAAAAAAAGTATTTTAAGTTTTTAATCAGATGATAAGGCAATTAAAAACATGGGACAAATACGTCCCTTGGTCCTCAAGGGGTGGGAAGGTTGTAAAATCGGGGGAATTATTGATGAAATTATGCTGCAATATCCTTGTTGTTTTAGAGTTTAGTGTTTGTTCCTGAAATGAAATTAACAGGGCACCTTGGGGGTCTGGGGTATATAACACAAGCATGATGTTCCCCATATTTGTTTGCTAATTCCTAATGGGGTTGGTTTTCTAGAGGTAAATAGGCAGTTCACCTTGAAATGGAAGTTAAACTGTGCAAGGAAATGTTCCCCAGAGCTTAATGAATGGGGTGCAAAGAATACAGTACACAATCATGTGTAAGCAAAATAAGAAAAACAGCATCTGTGTTTGCACGTTTGGTGATTGAATTCAGCATAGCTTCATCTCACTCACTAAGCTCTGTGGATAGTTCTCTTGCAAAATGCAAGTTCCCTTGTAAAGTGAGCAGTCTATTTGGGGCCATAACGTTATTGTAATTTGTGAGGGTGCTGGCAACATCACTAAATCAACATTAACTATTTTTATTTCAAATAGTTTTTATTGAGGAGTTTTAACATACAGAAGAAAAAAGGGAAAAAAGGGTATATAGGCATTGACATGAGAAGAAAATTTTGAAGGTTCACATTTGATATACACATTACATAACATAGGGAGAAACGAGAATGAAGGATCCCCACCAACTGGCTAGGGAAACTATAGGGTTTGATTGTATTTACATGAGAGGTATACTCGATATCTTCTTGTGAACTTTAGTGGGAACTGGATATGTGTAATTGGGGAAGGATAAGAGATAGGAGAGAACAGGGGGGGGGGGAGGGTAATGGAAGGAGGGCACCGGTGTGGTATGGATTAGAGTATTTTAATTTGGTATGTATCTGTAATCAATCTATTATGCAATTTGGGTTTTTTAACCATCAGGACCAATGGATCACAAATTTGTGGTAGGAGGAGTTGTGGCTGGCTATTCTTTTTTCCATCTCACATTGGAGATTAAGATCTGATATGAGGCGGGTAAATGAAGGAGTAGTAGTAGAGCGCTATAATCTAGTAATATTGAGTTTGGCAGCTGCTAAAATATGTATAATAATGGTACGTGAGTTTGTGGGGAATTTTTCAATGCCAATGTGTAGAAGAGCTAGGGCGGGATTCGGGGTTGCAGGCGTTTCCGTAATTGAGGTGATTATTTGGAAAACTTTGTTCCAATAGGATTTGAGTGATTTACATGCCCAGATTAAGTGGAGAAGTGAGCCTGTGTCTCTCCACAGAGTCTCCAGCATTCCCGTGATTGTTGCTGGTAGAATTGGGATAATTTAGCAGGGGTTAAATACCCTTGGTGGAGAATTTTCAGGTATGTTTCCCAATGGGAAGAGCATTTCGAGGCTTTGAAAGTGATGGTAAAGGTCTTTTCCCATATATGCGGAGCTAGCGGTTGAAGGAGAGTATTTTCCCAATTGGTTAGAGACGAAGTATGTGTAGCATATTGTGTGTCAGTAATAAGGGTGTAAAAAGTTGAGATTCCCTTCTTAGGGTAGGTGGTCCTGTGAAAAAATTGGTATGAGGTTGCAGGGATTCCCATTTTGAGTGGTATATTAGTTTTATGGAGCAAATGGGCTATGCGCATATAGGAGAATTGTTCCGTATTGGGGAGTTGAAACTTCCTTTGAATGGCATGAAAAGAGTCTAGGTTAGAAGAGGTGATAATGTCTTGAATGTGGAGTATGCTGAGATTTTCCCATTTTGTCAGGTTTAAATGGGGAATGATAAAATGGAGGGATGAGAGTGGAGTAGAAGCTTGTAAGTTGGCTTTATGTAGTCGGTTATAAGCGGCAAAATCATGCCAGACTATTAGAGAAGCTTTTATGCAGGGATGCTTATGTAGAGTCTTAGCTTGAGCCAATCGGGGTATAAATAGTAAGTCAGTTATATTATGTGGAAGGTACATGGAGGTTTCCATGACAGTCCAAACTTTTTCAGCAGTGGGGTGCCACCAGTAGAAGAGTTGGTCCAGTAGAACCACTTGGTAGTATGATTTTAAGTGTGGAAGACCGGCTCCACCTCTGGAGGGTGGGCGTATTAGGAGATTTGTGGTATATCTAGGTCTTTTCGAGTTCCATATGAACTTGTTTAACATCGTTTGGAGTTTAGAAAAGAAGGTGTAGGGTACTGGGATTGGAAGTGTACGGAAAATATAGAGTATTTTAGGAAGTATGCACATTTTAACCATTGCTATTCTGCCTAGCATCAACAAGTTAGTTATACGTAAGCTCTTAAGTTCCTGTGGGATGGTTTCGAGTAGTGGTTTGTAATTAGCCGTATATAGTTGGCTAACATTGGCAGATAGTTTAATTCCTAGGTAGGGGATATTTTGCTTTTCCCCACTTAAATGGGAAGTGTTGAGAGAGTAGGTTTTGCATTGCTGAGGGGGTGTATAGGTTTAATATCGAAGATTTAGGTTCGTTAAGTTTGTAATATGAAACCGCTGCATAACAATGGATATGTGCGCGTATCGCTTGGAGTGATTTGTATGGGTTTGTTATCATTAAAATAATATCATCCGCAAAGAGACTAATTTTGTGTTCGTTGTGAAGAAATTTAATACCTGTGAACTGGGGATAACATTAACTATTTTTAATCCTTATGCTTCTAACATTAGTAAATAGATATGAATGTATATTATATTTACTTTTTCATTTAATTTTACATTTCTTCAGTTGCCTAGGCCAAAATGACGTCATACATCCGATGAGTCTTTATGAGCATTTTTTTTCTTTCATCTGCAGAAGGGGAGGAGCGACTCCTTCAACTAAGCACACCCTTCTGCTTACATCTTTAGCCACTTCCTGACCGCCCTATAGCAGATATACTGATACAGGGCAGCATGGGTGAGCAAAATATTGTATATATATGTGATTTTGCATCTCCGGGTAGAGGGCGTGTGCCGTACCTGCACTGCCATTCGCGGCCGCAGTTGTCAATCACCGGGACCTGGCTGGTGATTACTCACCAGTTCCTGCTGATTTACTAGCATCTCTGATTGGGAGGAGAACTGTATGTAAACAATACAATTAACCCTGATGAAGTCATGACGCACGTGACGCAACGCGTCGGTACGCCATATCCGGTTTCTAGTCACGTCACTTCCAGTCACGTGGGGACGCATGTCCGGACGCAGCGGCCATATTGGTTTCCCCTTACTTTATGTTACACACCTATGGGATGAGGTGAAATAGCTCTTTGTGACAAGGAGACAAATGTAAGTGAATTACCATGTTTTAAATTCGATCATTAAAACAATATTACACTATGGGAAGTTCTTTTTGTGTCCTATATAACGATTGAGTGGAGGTGGAGTGGAAATCCTGTGATCCCCTGGTGAGCTGCCTGCAATTAAGGATCGGTCATAGAGGAGACTAATAGCCCTTTTGCCCTGTGTGGGTCAGGATGGGGAGGTGAGCAGGCATTGCTGTCATTGGAGGATATCTGAGCACTAGAAGTGAAGATCACTCTTCCTGTTTTTCACAAGTTACACCTGCATGGACTTTTTTTGGTTTATATGCACATTAATGATTTATGTGTGTGAATCACAATTATTAGTTTTACTAAAATATATCTATGAATTATTTGGACATTTATTTATCACCTTATTATAATTTTTTATCACGTATTGTTGTGAATTCATTAGTATATTTTTGATATAGCACTATGAGTTATTAATGGCACTATGTATTTGATATAATATTTTATAGCGCTTCACTAATTTATATACACATCTTTAAAACTGGAATTCAAGTGTCACGCTAAAGTGTTTGATGCCAAAGTTACATTTATACAAATCAATAGTTGGATACCATTAATGTTTAGTCTTGGCCTTGGGTTTATTAATGGTTGGTCTTGGGTCCAATTTTAATAAATTTCATTTTGGATCCAGACATTTCAGTGTGGCACTTCAATTCCAGTTTTAAAGGTTTCCTCCACAATACAAGGAACTTGTGGTAATCCCTCAGTGCACAGAAACTACGTACCTATCTACTCACAGGTACACCATTAACTTGTTATTGACACAAATTAGTGTTCATTTTCTTTTTAAAGTTTCAGCACCATCAGTCTGCTCTTTAAAAAGGTACCAGTGGAGGAATCCAAATGGCCTAAAAAAAGAATTTTCTTCTCCTCTGAGGTTCCAGTTGTAATTCTTAAACTTCTCAAGACTGAAGACAACCTAATTGGGAAAATAAGGTCCTAATTGGGAAAAGAAGTGTTAGCTACGGCATAAACAGTGCTGATAACCTTAATTTTAAGAAACATATATTGACCAGAAGTATCTTTAAGAATCTGTAAAAGCTCAGGTTGAAAGGATTTATGAAAGGCAATAGATACTGCTATTGATTTAGCAAGAGGGTTAGTACTGTGAAACCAAGAACTGAAGAAATAATATTGGGAATGCTGTCATAGGGTTAAAAAATAAGGATTTTCTATTCTTGTCTGAGGCAAATTCATTGTTCTAATATAATTAAAGGAAAAAGTTTCCATCATCTGCATTATGATATTGATGTAAATGGCTATTATGTGTGTCAAATTTGTTATATTATTTGCGTCTTAAACTGCCCTTACAGCTTGTCTTACCTCAGAGAGATGACACAGAAGGCAAATGATTTGATATTCTGTCATAAATATTGTATTAAGAATAAAAATATACTGAATATCTAGCTGTTAGACACTCTACAAAAAAAGCACATTCTGTAACACAACCTAAATATACTGTATGTTTATTCAGCCTATCCTACTGTTATGGAGAGAAGGTAATAGGAAACTTTGATTAAGAAATGTGAGGTTTAGAGGGTTCATCGTCTAAATACAATTCATCCTTGGGGATTTAATGTTGACCTGAAATTATTATTTTTTAGGATACATATTTTTTTCATTATGCATGTCTTTTTGCTTTTTGGTCTTGGTACAGAATTCCTACTTTCAGTTAAATTTTTGTTTCATTGTTTCAGTTTCATTTTTGTTTCAGGTAATGCATTTGGGTAGTTAAAACCATGTTAGTTGCTGATACTTTGTGTGTAATAATCTTCTTATATAGCACAGGGGCGGACTGACTATTTGGAAACTGCCCAAGGGCCCAGGGTCCATAGGGGGCCCTATGAGATGCCCCTGATACCTTTTTCATAGGCTTTTTTGAGTTTGGGCAAGGACACAGGGGCCCCATGATCCCTTTTTGCCCAGGGGCCCCATGAGTTGTCAGTCCACCCCTGATATAGCATATTTAGACAGAGGGTTTAAACAGTTGCCATCAACTATATATTTCATTTCCAGTTTCACCTGCAGAAATGTTTTATACTTTTACTGATGTGTGTTTTTTTCAGCCTGATGAAAGGCTGAACAGAGACTGAAATTGATGCTGCTTGATACACTGATCTTACTTGATTACTGATAATGGAGTGCTGCAACACTGGACTGTTCAATTATATATAATTGGAACAGGGGCGGACTGACAACTCATGGGGCCCCTGGGCAATAGGGGATCATGGGGCCCCTGTGTCCTCGTCCACACTCAAACCACACCCCAAAAAGCCTATGTACCAGGGGAATCTCATGGGGCCCCCTACTGACCCCGGGCCCTTGGGCAGTGCCCAAGTTCCCAAATGGTCTGTCCGCCCCTGATTTGGAATGAGTGTTGCATTGCATTCAACTGAACCTATGACAGTTGCTCTCTACCATCACAGGTTAAAAAAGGTATAGTCTACATTTTCACTGTCCTGCTATTATCTATGGCTAAAGAACAATATTTTACTATTCAACCATATTTCCTTTTAGTTCTTGAAGTTTTCATCCCATTGAGCAACTCCAGTATTCAAGTACTACTAACATGTCATCTTTTCTAGGCTCTTGTTGGCACATAGTTAATTAAACATGGATGATCACAAATAATGTCATTTAGAACTCAATAACCCATTAGTAGTATAGGAAACAATGCAAAATGTGTTTGTGAAGGTGAGTTTGCTTACAACCTGCTATGTAGGTGTATACCAGCGGCTATAAGCCAAAAAGCAGAAGAGGTGTTAACTGTCACTAGTTGTGTGGCAAGGAAGGGTTAACATTATTTATGTTTTGTGGTCCAAAAAAGGCAATCATAAAAAGCATGCAGTGTGTCACATGGGATTTAAGCTTTGGCTAGAGCTATAGTAATATACTTGCTGGGGACAGTTTAAGATTTTGGCGGGTATACAGTATTAACAAATTGTCGGGATGCCTCTCTAGAGCAGTGCTAATGTTGTGGCTCTGTGGATGTAGATAAGTCAGAGACGCACATAAATGTCCAAAGGAGCAAGCACTGCATCTGTGTGAAGCCAACCATTGGTTTTTACTGCAATACATTTAAATAAGAGTTTCTGACTGGTTTTAGGGCAGAAAACAAATGTGTGAGGGTTGCAAGGAACCACAGGTTAAAATATATAGTATGTTCAATGGAGATAATATAATAGTATGCAAATTTCAGCTGCAGAGAAGATATAGCATTTTTTAAAAATGCAAATGCAAGTTTTTCTTATTGTGTCTTCAATTTAGAGCAACGTGAATGCATCACAATGTAACAGAAACAAAATGTGCAGGCACAGACTATATTACTTATGACTATATTGTGCTTTTAAAATGGCTGCAATGTTTCCAGTAAAAATGCATTTATTATTCCAAATGTTGTTTTATCAATCAAGCAGTATTTTCTCCTTTTACTTATCCTAAGGCTGCGAGCTGTATCATACTAGGCTTATGAACACATCTTATGAAGCTCCTTTGGGGCTTAGGGGGGGGAAAAGCAAACATTGCTCAGTGCAAATTAATTTTTTACATCACATGGAAAGGAGAAAGGAAAGGTAGACTCCAGTTAATGGCATTAATGTTTCATGAAACCTCTCATATTTCTCTTGTGCTAGCAAGACAGAATTAAAATACACATGAGCATTGAATGCCTTTGGTAAATAGTACTAGTTTTTGATGTGTCTTGAGAAGAAACAGTGTTCTCTTTGCAAATATGTTTTAAATAAAAATATAAATGCATTAAATGGGCTTGTGTTTGCAAAATATGAAGGCATGTTGAATAGACCATTGGGGTATTTTGATCACACATGAATATGCTAATTAGTAATGTGTCTTTAGTCATTGCTTACATAACTGTCCTTTCAAGCACTAGGTTTATTTCTTGATAACTGCCACTGAAATGTGGTGAGAAAAGGGAGAGGCTACAGATAATAAACAGTTGACTGACATCCACACCAGTCTGTCTCATGTTATTAAAAGAGAAATGTGTGGACATTGGTGAAGGAATTAGTCTTTTAGCCTAAAAGTACCGCCATTTTGTGCTAAGAATTAGTTAAGGCCATTTTGTTTAATTATAGATTAAGTTCTGCCATTTATGAATAAGTATTATTTCATATTTGTTAAAACTTGTATTTCTATGTCTTTCAAAGAACTTAAAAACTAACTTCCTCTTTCTGTTGTATGTTACTTTTTACAAGAAACTTAAAGGTTCCTCTTTTTTGTCTCTTATTCTCAAGAAACCTAAAGAACTTCCTCTTTCTCTTAAACTCCAAGTTCTCTTTTTCTTCTAATCAGATCAAACTGAAAGTTAGTGGTTAAGCGCATCCTGAATATATTAAAAATAAATATACACATTTCTTTTCTTAAGAATTTGGAAATTTCCATAAGTGCTTAGAAGTTCAAATATGACATATATCACATATGATTGGCTTATGCATATCTGATATTTGATTGGCTTCTATACTTTTATGCATTGTTTGAAGTTTCATATATAAGCTGAAACACAGAAGAATAAAATCAGTTCATTCTGAGATACCACCTTGTGTCTGCGTTTCCTGTGTCTCAGAGTGGGCTCCAGGCCTGAGGACAGTCACTGATCAAGCCAGGGACAGACGGGGGTCAGTGTATCTTGAGAGGGATGACAGTCAATTCCTTTCAATTGGATACTGTGTTTGGCTCCTGCCAGTTTAGTCATATACAGGGCATTTTTATAAATGTAAGCAATGCTGGACCTTTTTTTATTAAAATCTAAGTTATCTTTACAACTTTGCCATGTAAGCACCCATTATTAAATTTTATACTGACCAAAAGCGATTATATTTTTCCTTTTTTGAGGACCAAGGGACGTATTTGTCCCATGTTTTTAATTGCCTGTATCATCTGATTAAGAACTTAAAATACTTTTTTTTTTGTGATTTCAGGCAATAGGCAGTTGGATCTTCATCCATTCCTCACACTGATTTATTAACATAATATGGTTAATGTATCTTTTGGCATACCATTTATTTTGTCATTACTTACAAGTATGTTTTTGTGTGCACGACCAATTTTGACTTGTTGGCTCTTGCTGTTATATCTTTGCCAGTATACATGATAGCAGCTGAATTTGTATTTTCTAAAATCTAAACTTTTTCAATACAAATTTATTGAAGGGGGAAAAAATATTAGTGATGAAAGGTTCACTTTTAAAGTAACAGAACACAAAAAAATACAATGCACAATAAGTAGAAAAAATCCAAAGAACACTAAATATTCCACCCAAAAAACCCACACACTCTAACTAAAAAAACAACAACAAAAAAATCAGTCTGAAGTAAGAAAATCAATGTGTATACTTGAGAGTGTCTGTCTGCTTTGACAAACATTTGCTGGCAGCTAAAACAACTTTGTCCATCCATAATGACTAATGAGGATTAGGTTTAATGTCACATTAAGCATAGGTTTGAGGTAAATTAAATCTGTAAGTGATTTTTGAAAAGCCTGAACTTATGGATGATTTTGACACCTTAGCTATGAGATAACAGCTATACACATCTTATACACTTCCTTTGCATTCTGGTGGTGTAGAAAGGTCAATAATGTATATGTGCTGTTTATCTGCTCCTCCACCATCTTCCCCTCACCCCCTAGCAGTTTTTGTTCTTCTGGGGAGGATAAAGCTAGTGATTGTGTTTCTCCCTACATCAGAACATTTGTTGTTTTCTGTGACCAGAAGACTGGGAAGGGTCAGATAGTACCCCTATGAGGCAGGCATAGGGAGGTGAGGAGGGCTGAATTAACCTGCAGATCAAGTGTCTCTCACAGGTCGCCCTGGATGTACAGCAGCAATCTGGACACGGGGGGTGTGTTCTGCTACTGCAGCATACTGTACAGGTCTCTCTCTCTGTGGTTCCAGAAACTACGGTTTATAGTGTGGGATTCATGGCTTAACTTGGCAGCTTTACAGGAAGGACAGCAACTTGGAGAAGTGAATTGGGCTGCCATTCTCCTCTTGTGACCCCCAAGGATGGATTAGCGAGCCCTGTGATTGTGGCAAAAGGCAGAAGACAACAGGCGGAAAGTACTTCCCTTTGCCTTGGGAGCTTAACAGCAGAATCCCTAATAACAGCCAGGTGGTCTCTGGGCATTGATCGAAACCTCTTCCCTTCATTCAGGGCGCTACTATCCTTCTTCCTAATGGTGTGGAGACAGCTCAGAAGCTGCTGGTAAACCACCTTCCACAGATTCCTCTTACCTTGTTAGATACTGAGGTTATTGCAAAATTACGTTGCCAGCCTCTTGTAAACCCCATTGGGTAAATTAATAGGGGTGAATTTGGCCACTGCCCTCCTCTTGTGACCCAGAGGATGGAAAAGTGATCTCTGTGGCTGTGGCAAAAATGGGGAAGAAAATAGGCAGTGAGCACTTTGTTTTGCCTAGGGAGGTTAACCGTAAAATCCCTAATCTCAGCCAGGTGGTTTCTGGGCATTGAGATATGACCTTTCCTGAATGCAGGGTGCTCTTTATCTTCCTCCTAATAGTGTGGAGATAAATAGCACATAAGCTTCAGCTAAACCACCTTCCAGAGCTTTCTCTTACTTCGGTAGATGCTGTGGTCATTGCAACATAAAGTGTCCAACCTCTCACTCTAAGCCCTACTGGGGTAAATTAAGAATGGTGGATTTAATGAAGTGCTGAGGCCTACTAGACACTAACTCCCCTGGTATAGTATTTACAGGCTATTTAGGCCACTGAACAAAATCCTGATACACCTAAAAAGATAGGCGGCTTAGAGGAGGGGAAAGACCCTGAATATTCCAGGAGTATTACAGCAGCGTTTCCCCTGGTATACAGTGCTACACCATACAATCTGAAATCTTCTATGCCAGCTGCTATGGATCTGGCAAGATTCCTCTAACATGGGTTGCTAGAGATCTTCCTTCCATATGGAGGGGAGGTACAGTAATGTGTGCCCTTAAGAGCCTGTCCTCATTTTGGGGTTGTTTGCGGTGGGTAACAATTCTCAGGCTGTAGGGCAGCTCAAACCTATTAGACCTTTCTTGCACTGCTGTTATTTGTGGTGTGTAAGGACAGGTTGTGCTTGTTTTTGGGCTACAGCCTACCCAGAACTAGAAGCATAAAAGGTTTTACTACAGCCCTTAATTGTTGGGTTCCTGGTACAAACCTCCATGCAGGAGTTAACTACATAAACCTATACCTAATGATTGCTTGTTAAGGCCTGCTGGTTACACTCTCCAAGCTAATATGGTGATAACCTCTTCTTGGACAGCAGCAGCCATAATTTACCACAGGGAAGCCTCAGACTTGCTCCCACCTGTGGACTAGCTAAACCTTCTCATACTTGCGTCAGCATATGGGGGAATTCACTGAGATGCATGA